AGAGAGAGAGAGAGAGAGAGAGAGAGAAAGAAAGAGAGAGAGAAAGAGAAAACACCTATGTGTGTGTGTGTGTGTGTGTGTGTGTGTGTGTGTGTGCGCGCGCTGCCCCCGCTGCGCCAGCTGGTGTGTGTGTGTGTGTATGTGTGTGTGCGCCCGTGGTCGTGGGGGTGGGGCGACCCCTCCCCCACCAACCAACCAATCAGTCAACCAATCAATCAATCAATCAATCAATCAATCAATCAATCAATCAATCAATCAATCAATCAATCAAAGGTGGGGCGGGGAAAAAAAGCAAAAAAAAAAAAAAAAAAAAAAAAAAGAAAAAAAAAAAAAAAAAAAAAAAAAAAACGCGTTTTTTTTTCCCCAATTTCGTTGGATTTCGCCCATACCCCCCCCACCAAAAGTTCATCTTTTTCATTTTTTTTTGTGGGGGGGGGTGGGGCAGGGGATGCGCCGCCATGTAGCACCGCCAGATTTGTGAAACCCCCTCCCTGCGGCGGCCACGTGTCCGCGAATCCGCTCGTCCGCGCGTGGGCTCCGCAGACTGGCCGCGGCCGCGGACTTGGCCACGCCTGTCCGCCGCCGGGGGGGATACATAGCTCGTGGGGTGTCCCTCGACGAATAGCTAGGATATCGTTGACGATATCGGGCCAAGGCCTTGTATCTTGGGCCGCGATATTACGTCGTAACGCTGTCTTGATCACCCGATTGGCGTTTTCTATTAGTCCGCTCGATTGCGATATATGGAGAGGAGTATTGCGAATCGAGACACCGTGCAGGACCAGACTCCTCAAGACTTCCCCTCGGAATCTTGCCCCGTTGTCCGTTAGGATTTCCTCGGTGTCCAGATGCATCCCGAGAAAACGGTTAACATACCGCACGATTTCTGTCGCTTGTCGCGTCTTACACGGATACGCCTCTATCCATTTTAAAAAGTCGTCTACAAATACCAAAAGAAGTGAATATTCACATCTATTTGGTCCAGGGGGCACGACAATATCTGTGGTACCCATGCTGAACCTTTGGAACAGTCGTTCAACTACAGTGGGCACTATCGATCTAGGCGGCTGAATTGGCGCTTTATCCTTTTACAGCCCTTCCGACGTGGCTTCAAAAAATCGAGCTTCTGTCGGAATTTTATCAGTGTGGTACAAGGGACATAACCAGGATTTACCCATACTCCTATATGGGATGCAGGAACCGTGGGCTCGGGAGACACATTGCTGACAGTCTACCCACTCGACATACCCCTCCCCGCTAGGACACATAGGGACCGAATAGACCCTCGAGATTGCTTCGCAAAAGTAACAAAATTTGTCAGGCAGGGAAGGGAAAGAGGAAGACGAGAGGGGAGAAAGAGGACCTTTGGGATTACCTCCATGGTCCATCGCCATAGTGCCTGCCGGTCACTTCTTAGAGGTCCGAGGGAGGATGGTCACTTGGTCGTACGAGGGCTCGCCGGTTGGTTTCGGTTCCTTCCACGGTGTGATATGTTCACCCTTGGCCACCTTGCTAGGCCGATACAATCATGTCAGTCTGTTGGCATTGTCGTGCTTCTCTATCTTCCTATGGACGATATCGAAGTCGTACTCTTGCAGTCGCACAGCCCATCGTCCGATCATGCCCGTATAGTTGGTAAGCCTCTTGAGAGCCAGCAGGGGCTCATGGTCCGTAACGAGGAGGAACTTTTGTCCGTACAAATACGGATGGAAGTGTTGAATCCCCCATACAACCACGTAGCACTCTCCCTGAGGAGCCGAATCGTTTCTTCTCTCGTCCGGTACTGTTCACGAAGCGTACTCGATGACGTGTTTGCTGCCGTCTTCCCCTTCTTAGCCAAAATAGAGGAGATTGCTTCAGGCTGCCAGTCCGTAATGAGTATGAATTGCTATCCCGGGTCAGGTCGAATCAAAATAGGTGTTGTGGCCAAAGCCTCCTTTAAGGTGACAAAGGCCCGTTCACACTTGGCGTCCCAACTCGACGGTTGGTCCTTCCGTAGAAGGTTCGTTAGAGGTCGGGCGATTGCTGCAAAACCTTTGATAAATCGACAATAGTACGAGGCCAGTCCCAAAAAGGCTCGAACTTATGTCAACGACGTCGGTGTAGGGGCATCCCGAGCGGCCGCGACCTTTCTCGAATCCGGTCGTAAGCCTCCCTCGGTCACCACGTACCCCAGGAATGAGATGTCCGAAAGGAAAAATTCACTCTTCTCCAACGCAATCTTGAAGTCATCATCCTGCAACGCCCCAAGTGTCAATTCGATATGTTGTACATGCCCGTGGAATGATTCTGAGTAGACCATGATATCGTCCATGTTCACAATGACGCAGAAATTAACCATGCCCTGAGTTAGCCTGGTCTTGTTGATGAAATTTTGAAATATGACGTTCATCGCTGTTCGAAAAATAGCTAGCGCATTGCAAATTCCTATTGGGCAACGGACCCACTGTCAGGTGCCCTCGAATAACACAAAGGCCGTTTTTGGCCGATCCTCCTCCTTGACAAGAATATGATGAAATCCATGACGAATATCAAACTTACTAAAATACTTAACACACCCAATCGCATCCAACAGATCATCAATCCGGGTAGGGGGTACACATCCTTAATCGTGATATCATTCAACTTTCTGTAATCAATGCCAATGCAAATCGACCCATTTTTATTCGGGACTAAGACCACGGGAAACGACCAGGGTCCGGTTGCCGGTTCGATCCATCCGTAGCCTCAAATTCTCTGATTCTTTGCAATGCTACTTTTCGTTCCGCGAGAGAATATCGATATGGTTTAAAGTGGATCGGCGGGTGTATTCCGGTCTGAATTTCGTGTTCAATGACTAAGGACAGTCCGATATCCGTATCTGTTACACTGATCGCCCCTTGGTATTCGGTCAGAATATCCGCAATCAATCGATGAGTTTCATTGGGTACAAACTGAGGCACATGTAGCTCATAGCGTTGTCCATGTATGGTAACCGTCACGTGCTTCGTGCCTACTCTGGGGCTGCAATCCACAAAGGGAGCGGAGATGGAGTTGTCCGACCGCCAGGAAAACACAGTGGCGACCATTTGAGCATCTTCCTCGCCGATGACCACGTGTTCTTCTGGGGTCACTCCGTCATTGATATCCTGCGAGCACACTGGTTTCTCGACGATTTTGATTCCGAGCTCATAGGCTGTAGAGTCGTCGCGTCCAGGGGGTTCCAGAGCTTTGCCTTCGCCCCCCTGCCGTAGTAATCGCACCTCCTTTCCGGAAGACGGCAAGGAACAAGATATCCCTGAGATGTCAAAAAATGCTCCCTTGTCTCTATATCTCGGGAGAATCGGGGCAGTGGCCTCGTATAGGGTCCGAAGGGGTTCCGAAGAGTCGAGCATCCGGGATATTTGTACGAGTGGTTCCCCTAAGATTAACGCGCGTGTTCGTCGTAGATTTATCTCCGTAAGGACGAACGTTTTCGGGGTCTTTTGTCGGACGCGGTAACGAATCAGCTATCGAGTCATCTCATGTATCACAGAATCGGCTTCGTTTCCACTGTCAGAGTCACTCGTTAGTTTTATTCCCTTCCCTCTTTGATCCGATTCGTGGATTGGTTATTTCCAGGTGATCACTCTGAGGGGTCCTCTGATTTCAGGTGGGGGGTTCTGAGTTGAGGGCGGCGTGGTCCGAAGAGTCAGCCGCATCGGAACAACGTACGGCTTTTCGCCCGTGTTTCGAAGGATGACGGATCGCCTCTCGAAATCCAGGTTGGTCCGTAGTGTTGTGAGGGCTGGTAATTCTAAAAGGACATCTTAGGTGTTCACATCCAGTACTATAACGTCTCCTAGTGCGTGAACTTTTCCTAATCGAATCACGACATTCGTCATTTTTCCTACCGCTTCGATTTTCTCTTCATCCCCTGAGACGAGATGATCTCCTTCCATCAGGGTGATCAGATCCTTCCTTTTTCCCGCTCGTTCAACGACTCTCAAAGAAATAGCCAGTATCGCGGCTCCCGAATCGATAACAGCGATGTAGGGGGTTCCCCATACCTCGATATCGCATTCCGCTGATTTCCACGGAATCGCTTTGATCCGCAAAAAATGATCATCTTTTTGGAGTATCCCTAACCGTATTGGGTCCGACGCACTAGGAACATCCAGCCCGTCTTCGAGGGGTGGGGCTTTCCTTTCTCAGCCGCCGATTTGGCGAGAGCAAATCGTTTTCTGTTTGCTTTGCAATATTGTAGCATGCGCTCATTGGCTTGCTCCGATATGGTCAGGAGGTGTCCGATAGGCAAAGGAATTCGGTGATCGAGAGCTCGGACGATGTCCAATACGTCGATCTCTCCGCTAACGAAGGTAGGACCGCCCGACTCCATTTCTCTCGGAGAAGATCTTCATTCGACCATCTCACGCTGTTCATTGGCGGTTCGGATGGTTTTGATTATTCCCAATTCCGGGTAACCCAATGCCACATATTGGTCGAGCGAGATAAGTTTCACAGCTTCTTCAGTGGTGGTCACTGCACTCCCTGCTCCTTCCATTTCTTCGATCATCGTGCCCACCC